CTGAGCCCTGCCCAAGTCAGGCTCCTGAGCCAAACCAAACTCGAACCTGAAGGTTTGCTACACCTACATGAATCCCAAAAGAGTTTGACAAAATCTTCAAAGCCAGAAGGCTCACATAGCCATTTTGGAAATGCCAAAGAAAGCAATTCACAAGGACCTGTATGTAATCCACCAATTACATTCACTGTAGTTATATCTAGTTTTACATACACCGTTTTCAAAGAACTTGAGAAGCAAAGTGGAAGAGTTACTTGGGAGAATTCGGAGGGAGGAAAGGGAAATGAGGTAATTATATTATAATCTCAAAATTTAAAAAAAGTATTAAAACTTAAAATCCTGTTTGCTCAACAAAAACTTAGTCCTCAGGATGTCTGGAGCCTGGCTCTTAAGATTTTCCAGGAAGCAGTGGCCTGCGGGGACCCTGCCTTCAGACTTTTAGTTTCCAGACCCGCCTACTGTTATCATAAATATTACATACACAAAAATAATCTGCAATAAATATACATTTCAAAAAAAATGTATCCTTTAAAGGCTGTCTAACATTCCTATGGAATTCTAATGATTTGCTCAGCAAATTCCCGTTCGTTGAACAGTTTGAGAATTTTCGCCAGCATAACTCCTAGAAAGAAATCTTTAGGGGCTGGAGAGATGGCTCAGCGGTTAAGAGCATTGCCTGCTCTTCCAAAGGTCCTGAGTTCAATTCCCAGCAACCACATGGTGGCTCACAACCATCTGAAATGAGGTCTGGTGCCCTCTTCTGAAGTTCAGGAAGAATATTGTATACATAATAAATAAATAAATAAATATTAAAAAAAAAAAAAAAGAAAGAAAGAAATCTTTATTACCGCCCAATTTCCTTAGCGTAAACTCTTAACAATACAGGTACTAAATCAAAGGAGGAGAACATGTTTTGATGGCCCCTGCCAAAACTCCACAGAACCACAGCCCTTAACTTCATTGTTGATACCCTGTTCCTAGTTAATGGCTCTAACACTAAATCCGGCAGAAACAGTATGAGACGTCACCTCCACAAAAGCATCAAGGCAGAGAAACTGGAAAACCACTTTTGGCAGAGTAGCCTAGAATGCATGCCACATTGGTGGCTCTCTTCGGACATCTCTCTACCGTGAGGTCACATCTCCATCCAAACCACTGTCACCTACTCCTGGCCCACAACTGAAACAAGTTCACCATATTAGATTTGGTTTACAACACAGAAGTGTGCAAACCTGTGCCAATCGAAGCTTCCAGAGGCCGTGCCCGGAGATCTTGATGTGCCATGAGAACCAGAGGTTAGCCCACACCACTGGCATTCCCTTTTCCTCTATGCCAACTGTTAAAAAAAAAAAATCCAACAACTTACAACCCCAGTGCTTTGGCAAAATACTAACTAAGCACTCTGGGAGAGCTGAAGTAAAAACTGCATGATCCTCTCAGGGTCTGACTTGATGTGATTTCTCCAAACATCTCAATCGACGGTGCAACACGGCCAATGCCTGCCTCTCTGATTTAATTACTGCTTTCCCAGAACCGAGATGAATTTTAAACTGCTTCAGCATAAGGTGATCCACCTACAAAGTGCCCGAAGGCATATGAATGAAACTAAAAATACAACCAGATGACATGTTCACCTCATTTCCAAAAAGGAAATCACTCGCTGATGAAGTTTTGTAGGACGGGGTCACAGTTATGTCTGAACACAAACTTACTAATGATAGTGATTACGAGACAGATTATGAGATCATCACTCACATACGTATTAACTTTTAATAAAACCTGATCATACAATTGGAGACACATTCTAAGAACTTTTTTTTTTTTAAACTTTTGTTTAGAGAAAGTGTCTCCCTTGGCTGGGCTAGAACTTGCTACATAGACCAGGCTTGGTCTCATACTGGTCTCAGAGACTTAGAAAATGAAGGAATTATAACCACACCCAACTAAGAACTTTTGCTTCAAAGTAGAGCCTTGCTGTGGAGTCAAGGCTGGGTTCTGAACGGGTCAACCCTCCTGCCAGCATGACTTCCTAAATTGAAAAGTGATGTAAGAAACACCCCAACACTCTGCACAGACACACAAAACCCTTGCCACTCTCGGGTCCCAGGAGAATGACAACCGGCTGTCCTTGCAGAGAGCATACATGGTACACTAGAAAGCCAGATGTATTCTATTCTCTTATACAGACTGCAAAAATCTTAAAATTCCTCTTCTTGGTTTTATGTGCTATATTATACAAAGCTGCACAGATTCTCAAAAAAACTTTTCAACCACAGAAAATATGTACAACCCTTTTTCCCCAAATCCTGGACTTTTCAGTCTACACAACTATATCCACGTGAGCCTACTAGTCTCTAATAGAGACTCAGGGTTAAAACATACTGGATGTCAGGAGGAGCTGCTTTCAGACGTAGAAAGGAAGAAGAAAGCCTTGAATTAATTCTCCAATGTAGGAGGAGAAAGTCTACACCCCACAGTGAGCTATGAGAAACTGTTTTCTCTCAGTGAGGGGTGGACTCACTTTCCCAGTTCGGTTTAGTAGCCACCGGAAATTACAGCAAGCACATTTTTCTTCTCTTGTCTTCATGATGTATACAAGATTGTGTGTGTGTGTGTGTGTGTGTGTGTGTGTGTTCTGCTTCCTAGAGTCCACTCGGAGGCTTTTCAATGCATCTGAGCAGTGCGGATCCCCTGGGTGGGCAGGGAATGGGTCCAGTGTTGTGGTTTTGTATAATGACAAGCACATTAATGGGACTCACCAAAATACTGTACTTGTTTTACTTGTGGCTTTCAGGGTTGTTAATTAAAAAACTAGAGGTTTTCAAAAACCAAATATACACAAGAACAGAGAATTATGATAAAATTACCTGGATCACTCAAGATTTTCTTTCCCTGATTGTCTATTATGCTAGCCAGGTGTGAAGGCAAATGCCTTTAGTCCCAGGACTCTTAGGCAGGAATTTAAGCTCACAGCCTGACTGTGTGACCTGGGAAGCCCTATCTCTAAACAAAAACATATATCAAGTGGCTAGTGACAGAGTGGCTGGCTGCCTGGCACCTCTGTGGTCCTGGGTTCATCTCCTAGTACTGAAAAAAAAAAAAGGGCACACAACTACAGCTCATTCCTCATGGTGTATGTGTTTTACACACTGCCACTGGTGAACAACCTGAGCTCTGCAATCTTTCTCCTCCACTTGTTTCTTAAATAACAAATATTTCACTAAAAAAGATAAAACACCTCCCAGAATCACACGCCACACTCTCGTGCAACAGGGTAAATAAGGCAGCTGATTGCTCCAACACTGTCCATTACTAGACATGATCACCCAGAGGAAACGTTTGCAGCTAAGATCAAGAGAAAAATCTGACTTGCCATCATTTTTAGGCGAGTGGGTATGGGATTTGGAGACAAGCCTATTGTTATCTACCAAAACCTTATAAAAAAAAAAAAAAAAAAAAAAAAAAAAAAAACCTCTGGGGTTTTGTTATGTTCCAAAATCATTTTAAAAGGACCAAACTTTGGTGTTTTTATTGTTGTTATGAGCTTTTTCCCAGTTGCAATTTTTCTGAACCGGATGAAGGAAGAAAGATGGTTTTTAGCAGGGATAAAGGTAGGGCTGATCTGAAGAGTTACCTTGTTGTGTCCGCTAAAGCATGCTTGAAACCCAGCAATTTCTCAAAAGGCAAGAGGGCATCACTTTTTTATGTTTAACTTGTCAGGAAATCGAGTGAAGAGCAGCAGGAACTCGCAGCTGGCTCCCAAGCGCTGTTATCATAAAACGGCAAATAGAACCTTCCAAAAGCAATACTTGCTTATAAAAGAGGTAATTTCTTCAGGTGGGGAGGCAATTGTCAGCTTTCTTCAATTCTCTTAGGTGCACCTCCCTACAACTGTGGTAAAACCAAACTCTGCACTGTTTTGCATGAATTTAGGTCTCTTCTGTCTTCCCTATTTAAACAGTTCCCATTTTACCAGAGGGATAGTTCACATAGGTCAGAGAGATGGGCGGATGATGGAACTCTCATGTTTGGTTTCAGTCTCGGTATCTTAATTTGCACCCGGTGTCTCAATTGCCTCACCATCCTAACTGCTTTAGAGTCAGTTTGAGTTGCGTTCACCCTCCTTATTAGGATGTGATTTACCTGTAAGAACACTTTCTACGTTATAGTGGGTTGGGCAGTTTCTGCTTCTGCTCACTCAATTCTAGAAGACCTTAAAAAGGATAAATACAGTTTCTTGGGACCTCCAAATAAACCCACCTGCAGGAGTAAAGTCAGGACAGGACGCCACAAAAGCAACCAAACTCATTAGTTCCATGCACACCCCATCCACACATATTACTCGAGTGTTTTCAGTAAGAAACACACCACAGGCGCAAATTGTTTTTAATCATCACTCCAAGTGTGCCACATAAAGTTGTGATTTCCCCATGAAAACCCTCCGTGCGCCTTTGCTTTGGGGAATCCAAAGCTTTTAGCCCTTGTTATTCTACGCTACCCCACCCCACCCCCCAATCCACTTCGCCCAGGTTCGGCGGGGGTCTTCGACTCATCGGAGAAGAATGCGGCTAATGAGTTATCTATTAATCCAAAATGTCTCAGCTAGGAAGATATTTCACCCAGCACTTTTAACACCGAAAGGGAGGGAGGGGAGTTGGGGTCGGAAGTAGCTTTTAACGAGAACTTTCCCAGAGTTTTTTTTTTCCTTCGACCATGCCTCCCTCAGATTTCCAGCAGCAGACGCAAAACCCAAATCTTGACCCTCCCCGATCCCAATCATCCGAGGTCACCCGGGAGTCAGCTCTCGATTCCGCTTTCAACAGCCCGGGTAGACAAAGCTGAGCATTCTACTTACAAAAGTCTCGGGAAAGTCCTCAAAAAGTTATGCAATGGGAGGCATGAGGACGCGCGTGGACACAGCCCCGCGCCCGCGGGACGCCGCGTCCCTTGGCGCGCCCCCACCCCGTGCGCCCCGAGACTCCCAGCCGGCTCCCCCTCCGTACCTCCTCCTCCTGAAGGTTGGCCTCGCTCGGGGTGTTCTCCTTCTCGGCTTTGCCTCCGCCGTTCATCTTCCCGGTCCTTCGTCGCCGCGCGGGGCTGGGGCGCGGGGCTGAGGCGAGGGCGCGCTCGCCCGCTTGCTTGCTACCTTCCCCCGGGCGGTCGAGCGAGCGAGCTGCGGGGCTGGAGCCGGGCGGCGCAGTGGGGAGCCGGGGCGAGTGGGGACCTCCGAGAGGCCGGGCGAGCCCTGGAGTCGGGACGGGGCCGAGGCGGAGGAAGCGAGGCGGCGGGCGCGGTTGGGACCGGAGCCGCCGAGGGCGCGCTGCTGGCAGGCTCTGGGCAGCGGGGCCGCAAGCAGCGCGCTTTCTCTCGCTTTCCACCCTCCTCCCCTTCCCCTCCCCCTCCTCCCTCCGCCCTCCCTGGACGTGCGCGGCCGGCCGCAGCCCAGAGGGACGCTGTTCGGGACCGCGAAGCCCCCTGCGGGAGGAGGAGCGCGGGGCGGAGCGGTCGACCCCAGGGCCCGGCTCGACGGGGGGTGGGAGGGGGATGTCACCCGGGCCACGAGGCCGCGGGGTCGGCGGGAGGAAGGTCGGGTCCGCCCTCTCTCTCCAGCCCCGGGGCCTCGGCGTCCGTGCGGGCGGTGCGCGTGGGCTTGGAGAGGGGGCTCGGGGCGGGGAACCGAGCCTGCTGGGGGGGCCGGAGGTGGGGGGGGGACGGAGACTGGGGCGTGCAACTTTTGTTTGCTTGCTTTCCACGACGGGTGTGCACCTCAACCCACCCTCCTTGGCAGTACCCGACGAGACTCGGTTCTTCCGAAAGGTGACAAGCACGGGGGACAGCCCACCACCGAACCCCGCTTTTGCAGGACACGGCTGGGCAAGCCCCCCGCTGGTGCCAGAGTCCAGCGAGCCCTCCCCAGCCTTTTCCCCTCGCCCGCTATGACTCTCTGAACAGGGCTTCCGGCGGTCCCTGTTCAGACTCGCACAGCCGGCACCAGACTGTTAGGGAATCGTTTTGTTTACTTCACTCTTTGGGGAGCCCCTTCCTGGAATACAAGACCGTGCCCTGTTTATCTTTGTCTCCCCCGCCACTGCTTAAGTAGGCTGCTACCTGGAGCCTAGTAGGCACTCGGTATCTGTTGGCTGAGGATCCCTCACTGCCCCTCAAAGGTCAGGACAGTATCAAAGCAGTTGCCCAACACCAGGATGACCGCACAGCTTCCGTTTCCTAGTCAGAGAAATGGGAATATATATCCCAGGGTTTTAGAGATTGTAGACGGGGCAAGCGCAACCCTCCTCTCCTAGCATTCATTCTTGCACAATGTTGGTTTACAATAGGAGGAAGCTAGCATTATTCTTAAGGAAGTTTCCATTTTCCTGGTCCTACTGGACTTTTCCAACAATAAACCCTGTAAACTTCTTTGGCTAGTAAGGACGGACATTTAAGACAACCCCCTTCCCCCCCCCCCCCCGCCCCCTGTATCAACGGGTTGTGCTCTCTCTCTCCGAGGAAGTTTGTCTGGCACACCGCGCCAATCACGGTTTCTCATTTGTGCCTTGGTTTAACTGTTCATCTCTTTCTCCCCACTCGACATTCTTTACCCCTCTCTGCTTTGAGAGCTGGTGGGGGGTGGGGGTGGGGTGGAGGCGGGGGTGGGGTAGGAGCTGGAGATAAGGGCCCTGCCTTTAGGCCATTGAAAGTGGCGTTGTGGAGACAAGATACCCCAAACAACTCCAAGGCAACATAATCGCTGAATCCTGGTTCAAATTATAAAAAAAAAAAAAGCAAGATACACGCAACATTTTTCTTTGGCTTTTAAAGGCGTTGTGACGTGAAAATCCATAGTGAGACAAGTTTTAGATGAGTTTTTTTTTTCTTTGAAGGACTCTGGAGATGTGGGAAAGTTCCTAAAAGAAAATAATGTTCCAAGTTGCCGTCATAATGCCATTGCTCTCTATAGTAACCGAGGTGCTTCCTGGGAGGAAACGAACCAAGAGTCTTTGGAACCGCGGGAGAAAAAGTCAGAAGAGCAAAGCTACAGTTAATCAGAAACTTTGTCCGTGTTTTGATTTATTATTGATTGTGTTGGTTGGCAGCCCTCTGCACGGCCTGCTCTTCATTCAGTAATAAGAGGAACCACGAGGGGGCAATGTCTTCCTGAGCAATGGCCGAGTGGGTGGGCTTCGGTGGCCCAGCCTTTTGCCTGCCTTGGCTATTCTTGCCTGTTACTGAATATACTCCACAGGGACACATTGTTTTGCTGGAGCCTGGTAAGGACCCAAGAAAAAAATGACAAATGGGTTCCACTCGGAGCCCATTTAGAAGAAGGTGGGTTATGGTGTGGTTGCAGTAGCTGGGGAAGTCTCATCCCTCTCCTGGAAAAAGTGGGTTAATTTCAGATGTAGACTAAAACCTGATTTTTTTTTTCGTCCTGAAGCCAAACCAGAACTTTGTCTTTTGTTTAAAAGTTAGCGCCTTCTGTATAAGAAAACTTGGTCCTGCCGGTTGTGGTGGCGCACGCCGGTAGGATTTGCTGAAGGAGGCAGAGGCAGGAGGATCACGAGTTCGAGGCCAGCCTGGGCTATACATTTAAAAAAAAAAAAAAAGAAAAGAAAAGAAAACTTAGTCCTGTGAAAGGAACCTTGTCTGGCATCTTCATTGGGTGTTCCCAGCGTTTAGACAGGGCCTGAATTATAATAGACGTAAGTTTTGTTTTTTGGTTTTTTTTTTTTTTTTGATTTTTCGAGACAGGGTTTCTCCGTATTTTTAATAATGAATAAACAGACAGTGATGGCAGTCGCCTTTAATCCCAGCATTTAGGAGGCAGAGACAGACGGATCTCTGAATTCCAAGCCAGCCTGTTGGTCTACAGAGTAAGATCCAGGACAGTCAGGGCTACACAGAGAACCCTGTCCCTCCCTCTCCCCCCCCCCCCGCAAAAAAAAAAAAATCCTGAAGGTGTAAGCATGGTCACTAGACAGAGTCAGAGTCATTATTAATATTTGATTTTGGAGAGTGTGGCCTAGATGGAGACATCGCCCACAACAGGACTGAAGAAAGAGATTAAAGAAATGGATGGTAAAATCACACCATGGTATTGACACAGCAGGCAATAAAACTGAGAGACAGCAGACATGGAGTCTCAGCACAAGGTTCGAGGATGAGATGATATGCCTGAAAGAAAGGGCTTTCATTTTCTATCCTTTTCGGCAAGCAATGGTATGTACTTATTTGGAAGAAAAACCAAGTAACATATTAACAGCAAAACCCAAGGAAAATCTGTAAACAGACTTCCACTATTTATAAACGTCACGGCTGTAGAGAAAGGGGGGGGGGGAGACGATGGGAGTTATATATTCAGTCAAAGACGGAGTTTCGAGAGTTGAGAGCTCCTTGGCAGCCGATTGTTGCCAGGCATGCTAAGAATGATAAGACAACAAAGGGAGTTTAGATCCCGGAAGAACTGGGTTATTGACCCCGAGACATTTGCCCTCTCACCTGCCCACCACCCTCCTGTGTTTCTGCCTGGCCTGCAAGGTTGCATACCAGGGTGAAAGGGAAATACTGTGTGCACCTGTACTTTTCATTACCCATCGCTGTTAGGCTGGCAGCGTTCCTTTTGAGGCTTGCTGCTGTAAGAAATTTAAACCCATAATTATGTCTTAAACGTTTGTCTCTGGGAATTGCAGGCATTACAGGTCGATGGGGGGGGGGGGGGGGCGCGAGGAACCTAAAGGCAATGCACCGAGCTATGTATCCGCGCTACAGAAGGCTGCAGAATCCACCCCGTGTGTTGCGATTGCTGACTTGGTTGATCCAAAGCTCTATTGGCCTTTTTTTCATCCTCGCTCTTCCTCGCTCTTCCTCAGTTCACTCCACCCTCCTTCTGTGATGTTTTTGTTGTTCTTTTGTTTTTGGAGACGGAGACAGGGTTTCTCTGTGTAGCCTTGGCCATCCTGGAGCTCACTCTGTAGACCAGGCTGGCCTCGAACTCTGTAGATCCTGCCTGCCTCTGCCTTCCAAGTGCTAGGATTAAAGATGAGTGCCACCCCCACCCCTGCTGTTTTTATTTTTATTTTATTTTATTTTTTGATAGTGGCAGATGCCATATAAAGTTTATCATCTAAACCATTTAAATGTTTTGGTAGTGTTAGATATATTCATACTTTTACAGCATCCCCTCATTTTTTTTGTTTTTTACCACCTCCATAGTTCTAAAATCCTCTCACTGTTTTCCCAAAACATAAACAGCCACAAGCAGGACCAGACAAAGAATAAAACCAGGTTCCCAGCTTGCAGCTCCGGCCAGTTTCTCAGCAGAGAGGGCCACTACCAGTGGGTCAACCTTGCTGAACATACTGTCTTGGAAGTGAATCCTCCAGCGTCAGGTGAGCTGTCCCAATTGATGCCAAACAGAAGAAGAAAAAAACAAATCAAAACAAAAAAAAAAACTCCCGCAAATGCTGCCCATATTACAAAATTGGTAGTAATTACATTTTTAAGTGAATTCTGTTGTATAATACCACTAAGATTTAGGTGGCTTTAAAACAGCATTAAACAAAGAAATACAATTGCATAGCCACATGTCCTGCTATAAAACAAAACCAAGGCAATTTAAGGCTTCAGGGTGGCACTAGGGGTGGAAATAGGAAGAGGTTCCATTTCTTGAGTCTGTTAACAAAAAACACTATTCAAGGGCCAGCATAGCACTCTGCAGGCTGCATCTGATTTAGGTACTGGGAAAACAATTAGTTCAATTAGCTGATTGTCACAGGAAAGAGAAACAACACCTAAGGAGCCTGTGGATCTGGCGGTGGTGATTTCTAGAAGCTGAAAGGATGGCAAGGTTTTGTTTGTTTGTTTGTTTACTTAGTTATCCGTTCTGGAAGAGGCAGCTGCCACAAGCAAGCTGAGCAGCCCTACAGCAACCTGAAAGGCTTTATTTGCTTTCTATGTTTCTGTTTTGTTTTGAAGCAGGGTTTCACTCTGTAGACCTGGCAGGCCTGCAGCTCACTGTATAAAACAGGCTGGCCTCAAACTCACAAAGATCTGCCTGCCTCTGCCTTCCGAGCGTTTTCTACATTTTTAGTACTATATTCCTTTTGCAAAAGAATGGGGTTCGCTATGCCCTGTCTCCCAAAACAAAGAAGGACAATAAAAACAAACCAAGGGGCTGGGCATGGTCACACACACTTTTAATTCTAGCAGGTTCAGTCACATTAAAGACCAGCATCGTTTTCTTGAACTCAGGCTGCTAGGGCTGCATAGTGAGACCGTGTCTCAAACAAAGGAACATAAATGATAAGTAAAACATAAAAATGAAATAAATGATAAATAAAGTAAAATTGGAAGAAAGACTTAGAAGGTAATTCACAGGTTCAG